CACCATGTCGGCCAGCCCGACGCACAGCTAACTGCCGACCAGCTTCGGATCAGTTCGCACGTTTACAGCACCTGAATGTACCGCATATACCGCTGCCTACTGCACCGAACATTACAATACTGAGGCTAGTAAAGCGCTATAGCATGAGTGACTGAAACCGTCTTCACCATACAATATAGCAGGTTCCCTCACGCGAGCTTCGCGCCAAAATGCCACATCCCAAAGACGAACGTCCCAAAAAATTGAGAGAAAGCTCCATTTCTAAGTTTATTCTTGCCACTCATCACAACAAAGTTCATGTTAACCATCCACGAACAACTGAAGAGTCATGTCCCCTGCCCTCTGTCCACGACTTCAACGCCTGTGCTTCACCCCGAGGCACCACCACGGCGGCGGCGGGTCACCTCCCGCCCAGCCGACGGGGCGGACGCTCTGGAGTCACCCAGCTCTGACCTGGCGACCCGTGTTGACAGGTTCAGCATGCGCGCGTGCCAAGTAGTCGTGGTGGCCCTACTGGCTTCGGTAGCGGCCGTTCACGCCGAATCCATTGATCCCAGCAAGCTACCCGCTAGCTTGGCCAAGCCGTACGCCATCTTTTTGGCGTCCGGGGCGGCCACCTCGTCGACCACATTCACGCTCGAGCATACGCGCATCACCATCACCAAGAACAATGCGGCCAAGTCTTCCTCGCTGGCGGCGAGGCCGCGTGGTGTCCGCTTCGTGGTCACAGACGCGGCTGCCAAGGGCTTAGTCTGTGTGCCCAAGGGCAGCCTGAAAGCCTCCGGCTCCGGCGGGGCGGGCGGCGCTGAGATCATTGCCGGAGCCGGTGAGGCCCAGAAGGCCGATATCACCATCGGCCAAGGCAAGGGCATCACGGCCACAATCAACAGCGGCATCTCCACATCGGCCTCCGCCTCCGGTGGCGGCGCCGCCTCGGCCGCCTCCTCCGTCGGTGGTGCCGCTTCAGCCGCCGCCTCCGGCGGTGGCGCCGCCTCGGCCGCCTCCTCCGGCGGTGGCGCCGCCTCTGCCGCCTCGGGTGACCGCGCCGCCTCCTCGGCCGCCTCGGGCGAGGGCGGCGCGTCGGCGGCGTCCAGCTCCGGCGACAGCAGCTCGGCCTCCACCTCGGGCCATGCCGAGGCCGCGGCGGCCGGTGGCGACTCGAGCGTGCACGCCTCCAGCGCCGAAGGCGGTCTGGACGTGTCTGTGAGTGGCGAAGGCGCTCAGGCGTCCGCTTCTGACGGTGATCGCACCATCACGGCCGGTGGCAGCGACCGTATCGTCATCGACGAGCGCTTCTGCGAGTGCGTGCCAGCCTATCTCTGCGACGAAGAGGGATACATCAACACCTTCGGCAGCGGCATCATCGACATCCGCTCCTTCACCAACAAGAGGGTGCGCAACTACCTCTCCAAGTGCAAGCCGGACGAGACGTGCTGCCGTCACCGCGACAACGAGCCCATCGGGTGGCTTCCGAGCGGCTGCGGCACGCGCTCTCCCGTCCGGCTGGACCGGCGCATTGTTGGCGGAGAGGTGAGCGAGGCGGGCGGGTCGGGCCGATGCCCAGCACCGGCCAGGGGCTGCCGCAGAGCGGGACCGGGGGTGACCCGGCACCGCAGACAGCGCACGCCCATGGGCAGAGGCCCATTCTTGTTTGGTGCACAGGTTATCCCAGTCCAATGTTTACGTTCGCCTCAAAAGTTCATCGCGTTATTTCGTTTATCTCGTACGCGTTCGAACGACAGACGGTGCTCTTTAAGCGACCTTCACTACACGTTTTTACACGACTTGTTTGCGCCCACCACGAAAATGGTAGTCGCGCTCGCCGCAGTAGGACACGGCGTAGTACTTCTTGCCCCAAAAAGCTTCGTAGTAAACGGCCGACAGCGCCGCGGCCGTGCAGCCGGCGGTCACAGGGCCGGGCCGGCCGACTGACGGTGACCCTCGCCCCTCCCTCAGGCGTCAGCGATCGGGAGATACCCGTGGATGGTGGCCATCCTGAAGGCGACGACCGGAGACCCCGAGTACCTGTGCGGCGGCTCTCTGATCGCCGAGGACGTGGTGCTGACCGGCGCCCACTGCGTCGAGGCGTAAGTGTCGACACGGGGCGCGGCGCGCCGCCGGCCGGCCAGCGGCCTTGGCAGGCACCTCGAGCTCCGGCTGGCTCGGGCTGCACTCGCCCGCCGAGGAAAGCGGCGGCCACCACCGCCGGCCGCGGCTGCACTCTTCCACCACCCGTGTATCGATCCCATCACCGCTGCCCGCGGACGTGTTGTGCGATGGGTTGGCTGCGGGAGCAGTCCTCATGGTCACTGATTTTAGCGTCGTGCCCACGTGCAGACTTCAACAGTGTCCTGATGAAGTTCGCTGCACTGGACATGCACCAGCCGACCAGCCTGCCAGTGGCTGGCTTACGTGTGTGTGTGTGTCTGTCTGTGTGTGTGTGTGTGTGTGTGTGCGTGAGGGACGGACGCTCCTCTCACGCAGCGCCTGCTTGACGTGACCTGTCTCTGCCGGCCAGGCACCAAGGCCAGCAGCTGATCGCCCGCGTCGGCGAGTGGGACACCTCCAAGCCGGACACCCTCTACCCGCACCAGGACATCCCCGTCTCCAAGGTGATCACGCACGAGGCGTTCAACGACAAGACGCTGTTCAACGACGTGGCGCTGCTGAAGCTGAGTCACCCGGCGGAAATCTCGCAGCACGTGAACACCATCTGCCTGCCCGTGGGTGCCGCCATCGACTTGAAGGACTGCGTCGCCAACGGCTGGGGCAAGGAGTCGTTCGGTGAGTCCCACTCTCGTCTTAGACTAGGACTCAGTCTCGTCTCGGTCTCGGTCTCAGTCTCGGTCTCGGTCTCGGTCTCGGTCTCGGTCTCGTCTCGGTCTCGGTGGCGTCGCCGGGTGGATCAGCGGGACGATGTAGATGGCCGCAGCACGGCGTCTTCGGCGGTGACTAGTCCATGGGTGGGTGGGTGGGCGTCGGCGTGGCGGTGATCGGGTGGCGTAAGGGCGATCACTCGAAGCTGCACCTTCTGTTGGGTTGGGTTGTGGCTACCCCCCCCCCCCCCCCCCCCCCCCAACGCCGTTTAGTGTGCGTGATCGGCACGGACATCACGCCACACCCCAGTCTTGTCTATGACAGTATGACATGCGATTCAAGAACAGACACGGACCCCCGCTCGCCGACACGGGGCGCACGAGTCCGTTAAAATGAGGTGTCCTGTGTCCAGAGGACCAGCACACGGGCTCTGACCGTGGTGGCACAGCTGATGGCCAGGGCACTCTTGAAATGTAACACGACTGCCATGCCTAAGGTGATGTGTCGAGGGACTGTCACTAGGGTTGGCTGTTGTTATGGCTGCCTCTTACCCGAACATTTTTAGCAATGTACTTACCCGGATATTTTTAAGCCGAGGAAACAGGCCAAAGTAGTGAAACAATGCTCAAGTCATTCCCTTTCTATTAAGGCACTCGAAATTTTATATAACTTTGTCACTCCTGCCATTGGAATGCAGCGGTGACAATCAGATGTCGCAAACGATTGAACGAGAATGACTTTCTTGGTTTACCACCGTCCATTTTTGCATACTTCGGCACCCCTCTCACTGCGCCAAGCAGCTCTGAGCTCACACGAGGACCGTCAGATACAATAGCTCCATACAGTAGCTTTATGTATCTCCATAGCCTTCTGCGACTCATTTGGACTTTTCGCCATCCCCGAGACCTGGAGCTTGCCGGCATACGAATAGTTGCTCATTGTAGATCACATAGCATATCTGAAGCTGATGGTAGACTCGCAGTTACCTACTCGACTGCGGACAATTTCGAGTCAGCCAAATTCAATTAAGGAGGGTTAGAGACACTCCTGAAATCACTGGTAAAATAACTGGAATGTTTAGAAAGTGACAAACTGTAATAAAAATTAGTCTCAGCTGTAACGCGGTGGATACAAGTAATTGAATTGGGACACCTAACTTCCCGAAGGCGGCCCTGCACCTAATCGACACGTCGTTAACTGCATCGTTCGAGGGAAGGGTATTCAAGCACGGCCATTATCAAAGCCTTAGATACCCGCATACGCATACATAGATAACTACGTACATACACCTCAACACACAGACATACATACACACATGCACGTATTTCATATATATATATATATATATATATATATATATCGATCATGCCTGCATAATGTAGACTCCGGGTGGAATCCCACGCGAAGCCCAATTACATCTAGTAAGGCAAATCCCCGCACCGCCCCCCCCCCCCCCCCATATCCCGCTTGCCTCCATCTCCCCAGCCAGTCGATGTATCGCCATTCCAGGCGTGGAATCCGTACACACAGTATTTCTGTGCAGCCACATTTGCTCTCCATAGCAACCGGCGCATGGTGCACTGGTGGGGCCCATAAGCAGCACGTGGCATATAAACAAGCGAGGCAGAACTATTCAGACGAGTACCAGCTGCTGCACGGCAGATATATCGGAATATCATGTAGGCTTGCAGGAACGGAAGGCCAGCTCGACAGGAGATATTGCAGCTTATGCAATTAAAATGTTCTGGGATTTGCAGACTTGGAAGAACAACTCAATCGCCGTTGACCCATAGACACGTAACATACGTCGCTTCAGTCTACATCAAACCTGAACCTAAACCCGCTTTGTTATAGCGTTATTCGATCAGGTAACCCGAATCAGCTGCCTTCCGATGTCAGTGGCGATATAGTTATAGACCACCGGACGAGCGCTCCGGCCCCCCCGCGCGGTAGCCTCGACAACTGACGTCAGCTGGCAGCACTGAGCGCGGCCGGCGCCCCCCGGCCGGCGCCGACCCTGACCCCAGGCCGTGCCGCGTCCGCAGCCAACAGCCAGTACACCAACATCCTGAAAGAGGTACCGCTGAGCGTGGTGGACAGCGGCACCTGTCAGAAGGAGCTGCGCACGACCAAGCTGGGCCGCTGGTTCAAGCTGCACGACTCGTTCTTGTGCGCCGGCGGCGAGAAGGGCATCGACACGTGCAAGGGCGACGGCGGCTCGCCGCTCGTGTGCCGCGTGGCCGACGCGACGGAAGAAGAGACCTTCGTACAGGTCGGCATTGTCGCCTGGTGAGTGACCGACGGCTGTTGATCCCAGACGGAGGGGGGGGGGGGGGGGCAGCTGCTGAAGGATGCTGCGGTGCTTGTTGGACCGCTGGTGGCTATAGATCGTATAAACTATATACAGCCCGGAAAATCCTATACAGGAGAAGGGAGCTGGGGACTGGGTCTCATTTCACAGTCCGTTTCCTGTAATTCTCTGAACAGGAGTGTGTTCGTGTGAAGGGAGGGAGGGGGAGAAGCGACCGCCAACAAGTCCGGCTAGCTGGAATGACAGAGAGCTGGAGCCCGCATTACTGCACTTGCCTCGTCTGCACTGCACTACACTGTACTGCACTCTGCACTCCGGTGCCCCACACGGGCCGCCCAGCGACGCAGGAGGCGTCCCTGGCTGACCATCACCTGCTCGCTTCGCAGGGGTATCGGCTGCGGCCAAGAGAACATCCCGGGCGTGTACGCCGACGTGGACAAGCTGCTGCCCTGGATCCAGGCCAACCTGCCCAAGCTCAGCGAGGACCTTACCGTCGGCTACCCCTGAGTGGGCGGCCGGCGCCCATCCTGAGCCTGCCCTCCGCTGTGATAAGAGGCCAGCAGGCGAGCGGTGGACAGCGGGCTGTGTTTACGGACCGTCGGCCTGGTCTGCGCGGGACGGGGCCGCGGTCGACAGAGAACCGACGCCATCTCGCCACTGGCCGCGCTCCTCCAATAAACATATCTGGCAGATCGACTTTGTATACTGGAACAGGGCGACACACTCCGAAGGCGATGAGTATTTACAGTGAGCTGGTCGCCGAGGCGGACGGGATGCCGTGTAAGCTATTTAGACAGATTGGAATCCAACATCTGATACAACATATCATGCATGCAAACATAAGGACGGCTTCAGTATATATATATATATATATATATATATATATATATATATATATATATATATATATGCATATATCATATAGAGTATAACCTCTATTCGGACTTTGGCAGCTCGCAAAATTAGCGAGAAAATACGCAATTGTAATTTTGATGTAGTTTTACATCTTAACTCAAAACGTTCTCTAAAAAGGAGAAAACATATCTCGCACTTCATGTTCGTCGAAAATCCGTACATTCAAAGTTCGAAGTTCCGAACAAGGTATACAGCGGAATATATCAATTTTTCAATTTTATCCGTATATCATGGGTTATAGCAAGAGCCCCTGGTTGGCATTGGCAGGGACCACGGTCGGAAGAGGTCCGACACCACCTCGCCACTGGCCACCCTCCTCCAATAAACACATCTGGCAAGCCGACTGTGCGCAGCCCTTTTCTCTTACACAATAAAGCGCGAGGTTCCGCGCCAGTCTCGGACTATTCACAGACAAGTAAGATTCTGAAAAAGCCTGAGTGGAATAGGGTGAAACATGGTTAAAGGGGTGCCTTTGGCGCTCAAGGAAAAAGTCATGACCCACCATGCATGACATGCCATGTTTTCGGCATGCTGTACAAATACGGCTAAATTTCAGCGTGAACAGATCTAAACTGGTAAACGAATGGCTTTCTTTTGCACACGAACATTGTCTTCGCTTCAGATGTATTTCTTCCCTCCTGGGTAGATGCAAAGAAGACGCCAGAATTACCACAAATCATGACACGATTAAGGTTCCATGCAGGCCACTCCCCTCAGCAGCATGGCTTCCTTAGTCTCGGATATGTAAGTGGAGCGGATCTGAGAAATAATAGAAAAAGTATGCATACAAGCCACAAAACAGAACCCCATCTTGCAGCGAATAACCCACAGGAGTGAAGCGTAGGACATTTTATTTACACTCCACAAATTCACATTTTATGGAACTATAAACGTAGTTTCTCGTCGCTAACGACACATTTACTCATTTACTTTCTTAATTAGAGGTATACGACGGCACAACCAAGTTGCCAAGGGGAAGTGACGCGTTAGTGATTACATCGAAGCGACGTTTGGTGGTTCGAACACGTTAATTGTGTACACGTGGACCCACCCGTGGACTCACGCCGTACCGTCGTCCGCCGGAATTCGGTCACAGTTCGGAGTGGTGCGGGGTTTGGACGGTCTTACACCGGGACCAGTTGGTACTCTACGCTCCACTGAAATCGCTTGCGGAGCCTCTGCTGTGCGCGGCAAACGTTTGCCAGGTGACGGACTTTGTGATCGGTAAGGAGACATTAAATGTTGTTGTAAATGACATATAAAGGTGCTGCAAACCATTTTCAATGAATGTAAGTTAACTGCAATCACATCCTGCATCGCAACTTGCAGCGCAGGTGTCACTTTCCTTGTACCATGACAATGCACCATGAAAAATGAAACAAATTCGGAGAAAAATTCATTAAGATGCCGGTAACTGGTCGCTAGACCTTGCACGATAACATCCTTCGCTAGGGAACAAGGGTATGAGTCACATTTGAATTGTCGTCCACTGCAGTCGCCGCGTCAGCTTGCTTCAGTTTGTTATCACGCCCTCGCACGTCAATTTTGCACGTATCACATGCGTTTAAAACGATCACCTGGGCAATACGTAAGTTTCATGGAAAAGTTGCAAGATCGACTTGGGAACTTTGGGAACAGTCTACGCAGAGCGTCACAGCAACTATACACAACGCATGATAAGGACGTCAGCAATGGCGACTGAAGCTTCCAGCTCAGGAGTTCAGCAGCAGTGCAGCTAACGACCCAACACACGGCTGGCTTTGCTGGCCGCCGTCAGCCGAGCCATCATCGCCCCATGGCGCATCGCAGCACAATGGGCACCGGTACGACACTGTGTGGCCCAGCACTCTGCGGGCTACAGCCGGCGACCACACGCCGACAGACGTCACTCTATGGCCTGCAGACGGGGACCACGCGCCGACAGACGCCACTCTATGGCCTGCAGACGGGGACCACGCGCCGACAGACGTCACTCTGTAGCCTGCAGACGTCACAACGCGCCCCGTCGGAGATCGGCGCACGAAGCTCGGCCGGCGTGCCATGCGGCGCCCAAGGCAGCCACCCAAACCGCCCGCCGCCGTAGGGCGGCCGGCTCCATTCCGGGGACACGGCACGTCCGTGGCCGGCTCCACTCCAGGAGACGGCACGTCCGCGGCCGGCTCCACTCCAGGAGACGGCATGTCCGTGGCCGGCTCCGCTCCGAGACACGGCACCTCCGTGGCCGGCTCCGCTCCGGGACACGGGGACACGGCACGTTCGTGGCCAGCTACACTCCAGGAGACGGCACGTCCGGGGCCAGCTACACTCCAGGAGACGGCACGTCCGCGGCCGGCTACACTCCAGGAGACGGCACGTCCGTGGCCGGCTACACTCCAGGAGACGGCACGTCCGGGGCCGGCTACACTCCAGGAGACGGCACGTCCGGGGCCAGCCACACTCCAGGAGACGGCACGTCCGTGGCCGGCTCCGCTCCGAGACACGGTACCTCCGTGGCCGGCTCCGCTCCGGGACACGGGGACACGGCACGTTCGTGGCCGGCTACACTCCAGGAGACGGCACGTCCGCGGCCGGCTCAGACCTGCATGACGGGTCGTGCGCCGCTGGTGGATAGCTGGTCGTTGGTGCCGGCGAAGCCGGTGCCTCCCATCTGCAGGGGGATGATGTCGGCCTCGGTCAGCAGCTCGCCCGTCACCGGGTGCCGCATGTCCTTTCTGATCAGCTTTTCCACGCACTCCATGGTGACCACGTCTCCGCTGCCGGCGACACGTCCGGACGGTTAGCCGTGGCGCCGGGCGGTATACAGCGCGAGCCAACAACCCAGCTAACGCCACCAGAAGGCAGAGCGCGTACTCTACTGACCAGGTCGGTAAAGAAATTCGACTTGTAATGGGATGTCTGAAAAGGAAAACTCACGGCCTACATGGAGCACACACATACGTGAAGATTGGTGTGTCTCTGTCCATGGCTTCTGGCCATGATATAATGAACATGTCAGGGTCATATCAGTGGGCTTTAGCCCCTCCACATATGTCTCGGTTGATCATGATCATGATTGTTCAAAGTTTGTCAGGCAAGCAAACACACACACTAAAAACAACAGCCACGTTTTGGGAAAATCCAGACATCTTCGGCACCTGAGGAACTGTACGAGGCCGCGCTCACAGGATTGGAAAAGCACGTCATTACACATACATGCCTTAACTGGCACCAGTACAGCATACAAAACAGGGTGTAAGTTACAAGGTTGATGGGTGGAGCGAATTTTGGGTTGAAGAACTACGCTATGCTATCTTCAAGCAAAACGGTAATAATACCACAGTGTAATACCGTTGTAATAACACAATGCTATACACAATGTAATACATCGCAAATGAGCAACTGTAGAGGCCATAAGTCCACAGCCGTTAACCGTCATCGAAAGCTGACGGCTTAGCTTGCCCGGTTTGCTTATATAGCCTGCATCGTCAAGATATCATAGATGACCAGGGCTCCTCAAATTCGTGAGACTTACGCGCCGGAGCCATACGCCCAAGCGCACTCCCCAGTAAATAATTGTGAACTCCAGACCACGTCAGCTCGACCGTACGACTCACTACTTGGAAGGGCGCGGCTCTGGGCAGGCCCTGACGTGGGACACATCTGCCGCGCCAGCACCCCTCCGAGCAGACACCCCCGGGCGTGGGTGGCACCACGGTCGCTCCGGGGGCGGGGGCGGGCGGAAGGCCACTCACGTGGGTCGCAGGACGGCCGCCGGCACCGTGTTGCCAAGGATGTCGTGCGTCACGCGGCACATGAACCGGTTGCGCTTGGAGATGAGCGCCGTCTTGTCGTGCGGGTCACAGACGGGCGTGAAGACCACGGCGATGAAGTCCTTGACGCGCAGCGGCCGCCCGCTCATCGGACACAGCACCGTCTTGTCCGGCTTCTTGATGACGCTCTTCTTGGCAGCCGGCGTCAAGCTCGGGATCCAGAAGGACGGCAGCTTACGCGCTTTGTCGGCCGTCATGTTGGAGACGGAGGCGTCGCCGCTGGGGCCAGCCCCTGAAGGGCGGGCAGAGGGCGCCAGTCAGGACCGAGGGGCGAGCAGAGGGCGCCAGTCAGGGCCGCGGGGCGGGCAGAGGGCGCCGGTCAGGACCACGGGGCGTGCAGAGGGCGCCAGTCAGGACCACGGGGCGGGCAGAGGGCGCCCGTCAGGGCCGCGGGGCGGGCAGAGGGCGCCGGTCAGGACCACGGGGCGGGCAGAGGGCGCCGTTCCGGACCACGGGGCGCGCAGAGGGCGCCCGTCAGGGCCGCGGGGCGGGCAGAGGGCGCCGTTCCGGACCACGGGGCGCGCAGAGGGCGCCAGTCAGGGCCGCGGGGCGGGCAGAGGGCGCCGGTCAGGACCACGGGGCGGGCAGAGGGCGCCGGTCAGGACCACGGGGCGGGCAGAGGGCGCCAGTCAGGACCACGGGGCGGGCAGAGGGCGCCGGTCAGGACCACGGGACGGGCACAGGGCGCCCGTCAGGACCACGGGGCGCGCAGAGGGCGCCCGTCAGGGCCGCGGGGCGGGCAGAGGACGCCCGTCAGGGTCGTGGGCGGGCAGAAGGCGTGAGCGCACACGAGAAGTCGCGCATCGCCCAGAGCTTCAGAGAGGCTGCCCAGTCGCTGTGTACTGACGCGTGAGAGCAATGCACGCCCCGCTCTGTGTAAAACAAATATCACGTTCGCAAACGGGCTGCTGCGTTTTATGGCCACACCAACAGATCAACCCCCAACTGGTCTCCCTGAACATCGAGTTTCTCGTATTGATCACAACTCAGCAGCCTCACATAGTCCACATCTGAGGCGCGTGAACGCTAGAATCAGCGCACGCCACCCGTCCCGCTCTCGCCGTCGGACGAGCGTCACTCCGCGAAGAACTCACCGGCGGTGGCGGTGGTGGCGGCGGCGCCGGCGGCGGCTCCCAGCTTGCTGATGATGCTCGACTCCTGGCCCTCGAACCTGCGGAGGCGAGACCGCTGCTCGGCGGCCGCCAGCTCCTCCATCTCCAGCTGCGCGACAACGGCGGCGCCATCAGCCACACACACACGTCCTCCGCCCGCGTCAGGAGGCACTGGGTGTGGACGCCTTCCGCGCATCGGCACAGGCTTTAGGCTGTCAACGTACCCATCGCGATGCGAGTGCAAAAATGATACACCAGATATAAACTTAAAATGGGTGACTACGGAGTTAGGGGGTTAGACACATTTTACACGCACGCAGCTTCCACGCACTGCCGGCATATTCGGCCACACATCCAATACTACTCGCTGAGATAGGTCAGAGTAATACAAGTGTGTGGAGAGACTGCGAACGACGTGAATTCGCGCAATGCTGCACGGCTGTCGTTCGTTACCTCTTCTTGTCTCTTTTCCTTTTCGTACTGTTTCATTTTGCGGCTGAATTCATTCTTCTTTGTGATGATGTACTCGAGAATGGCCTCCTTGTCGTAGAGATAGCCGTCCGGTCTGCAAGATCCGTCGTAGATGTATGAACGTTACCGGCGTGGGAACATCCGGACAAGTACTAAAAATACATTGTAACGAGTGCTTCCTTAACAGCAGCATTCTTAAAGACATACGCGTTGAAAAATACCGTAACCAAAAATACTAACTGGACCCCACATGCATCTATGACCTCATGAACGGCGCACACGACCGGGCTTACACATTGCAGCCGACAGCTAGCCTGTACCGTTCGTGGTAGTCGTGGGAGATAACGCCAACGACGAGACCAGCGCGCCTGGCTACCGCGAGAGGGCTGCTCACGCACGTGATGACGGGGTCGCGGCAGGGCTGCAGCGTCAGGCAGCAGCAGTCGAAGTCCTTCACCGAGTCCTTGCTGGTGCGGATCTGGTCAGTGCCATAGCCCGACTGCCGCGCGTCCTTCTTGCGCTCCTGGTACGTGTACACCATGCCCGCCGTGCAGTTCTTGCCATGGCGCGTCATGTTGATTCACCTGGAACAGGCACGGGACGCTTGGTACGGCACTGCTGCTAGCAAACGGCTGGGTAGAACAGAGGGTGTTCGTGGGTGTCCGCGGGGTTCGGCTGGGTAGAACAGAGGGGTGTTCGTGGGTGTCCGCGGGGTTCGGCTGGGTAGAACAGAGGGGCGTCAGTGGGTGTCCGCGCGGTTCGGCTGTGTAGAACAGAGAGGTGTCAGTTGGTGTCTGCGGGATTTGACGCCCACGACGCAATCGGCCACCTGTGGAAAGAGCGCAAACTGGCCTGAATCTGAGCTTATCGGGTTCCGGTTTAAAATGGTCTTCCATCTGAACAATGAATGCGTGGTTCAAGCGGAAAATCACGGACCACTGCCACGGTCAGTCGTCGATAACCCAGCCGTCCTCTGCGTGGCGGCGTTCTGCCAGCGATTGATAGCTCACCATTCGCACCGGCCACCGTCCGAGAATCTTATTTATAAGATCGCTGTCGCGTACCCGGGTCACGAAGCTTTCAACCAAACTGGGAGAACCGTACGGCGAGGACCTTCGTGCATTCAAGAACCACGAGCTAGTCAAGAGCCCTCCCCCTCCGGCGACTAGAAATATCAATGTGTAGCGCCACACTCCCTTAGCTTCCACTTCTACAAACGAAGTGTATCCCCGAACCATTTGTTGTCTTGTGGTCCCGTACAAACAGCTGCTTTGCTGCGAGGATTTTGCGGACAAATCCAGCGGCTCTTCGGTTCCATAATTTATTGTCCGCGTCTCGTCGTGCCTGCGCACTGTCAGGACATGACAAATGATGCGACGCAGTTGTGCAACACCGGGACGGAGACCCAGCCGTCGGCCTGCCTTCCTGCCCACCAACTCCGCACCACTTGTCCCACATCCGGCGCTGCACGAGCACGCAGCTCCGATACTTATGATGAAGACTCGGACCTCACAAGACAGGGCGCCATCGAACCGCTGAGAGCCTGGACACAGCGCACGTCCGGTGGTGCGGACAACAGTTGACAATTGTAGATGTAACCTCTGCGTAACCCCCATTACGCACTGGCGACGCTATCCGCTAAGCGCCGTCACCACCAATCGACACGAGCTTACGTCGACACGTCACCACCAATCGCATCGACACCGCAGCGGACGCAGGAAATGAGACGGCAGACTCAGCGAGAACCGTGCCGCACGAGTGGCGAGCGTGGAGCACCTTCAGTCACATCACGGCACCGCGAACACCACGCCGTGCATCGCCCCACGACAGCCGGGCACCGATGTGCCGAACACGCGGGCCGGCTCCCTGCAGAGGCCGGCTGGCCAGGGGGCGCCCCTCTCAGGTCGCCGAGCGCGCGGCCGGCTCCCTGCGGAGGCTGGCTGGCCGGAGAGCGCCGCTCTCAGGTTGCCGAGCGCGTGATGGCGGCGGCCCGGGCCCGCTAGCCGCCGTGCAGCGTCGAGATGAAGACGACCGTGTCGTGCGCCTGAAGCTGATAGCCGAGCTGGCCGAGCAGCTCCCAATCAGTGTCGTTCACCAGCACAAGGATGCCGGGCCGGACGGTGTCCCCCTGCATGAAGAGCTCCGGTCTCTCCTTCAGCAAGTGGTCCCGCAGCCAAGGCAGTAGGCCGGCCAGCGTCCACGGATCCTTCTGCTCCGGCAGCTCGAGCTGGTGCTCCCGCACGTTGCCAAAGAGCAGCTCTGCGCCGCCGCTGAACCGCACAGTCACCTGCATCTCAGAAAGCCCAGTGCTGCACACGCAGATGGCGGGCTCCACCTCAGTCCAGCACGGTCTGTGCCCGACCACTGAGCGGCGGCGCCTCCAGAGCAGAGCGGGCGGTTGACTCCTGCTGGCGGCTCAGGTGACTTGTCAGGGTGCAGTTTCTTGACGTTGTTGCAAGGCCAGTCAATGACAGACTTTCGGCCCCCCCTGCGAGCGGGAATGGCACAAGATCTAGCGGCGAGCCCAACGGCAGGCAATCAGGTTCCGCTCCACCTGCTCTACCAGCTCACTCTGAGGCTTGCCCAGCAGGGACTTGGCACTGCTGCTGCAGAATTTTCATTATCAACAGTAACATTGACCAGCACCATTACCATCAGCAGCATGACACCACCCTATTATTTGGGTTTACATGTAGTTGCCATAAACTTTGCTCCATGCGCAGGTCATGTTAGATGATTCCACCATTTGTCATACTAGGCACATAATCAAATTAACTTACATTTTGAGCCATTTCCTTCAGATAGTTTGAAATATAAGTTCAGAAACCTGATGTGGACACTAAGTGGTTTGGAATGCAAATTAAAAAACCTGATGCTGATAAACATCATGTGCCCACAACCTCAAGGAGTCCCACATTTTTTACTTTGAGGCCCCTAAGTCCACTTCCTCTATATAATTCAGTTCACTCATTTAATACAACCCCCCCCCCCCCCCATCCGCTTCAGACCAGCACAGGGCCACTCAGCTGATCCAGGAACCCTCAACCACTTTTGGGGGGTGAATACAAATATTATTCATTAGGGTTTAACAAAAGTGTTCCATGTTTGCATGTACATTTGAACTAAAACAGCTATATTGAAGATCATTTGGTCCAGTTCACAGCCCTGCCCTTCCTAAAACCTTAAATCCTCCAGTTTCTGGGCTACATGCTTGCAAAGACATCCAGACCTTTACAACGTCGCCTGGGCATGTCTGATGCCTCAAAAACATCATTCAAATACTGCCACCCCACAAGCCATACAGCATTTCAGGCCACACAGAATATAGCTGTCAAATCTTTCTGTCTAGCATGTGTGAGGATGGTTCACAGATACCACATACTTCAATTGGCTGTCCACCAATGTCGTGCTGGCAATGCAAGATTCAAACATGACTCATGTTCTGTGCTACACATCAAAAAAAGGTTGGACATGGAAAATATACATTAGAGAAATAAGAGTAATCAAAAAACTTAATAATGGCTCCATAACTGAGCATGTCAACACAACTTAACATCTCAACACACTCACAAACACACCCCAATAAACACAGTCATGGAAAATGTGCAAAATCACCACAAGAAAGAGCCAAAACATGAGCTGACAGCAACAGTTGCTGCAGCAAACATGTTCAGCATCACCACTGCAATCTCTTGGCAAGTTCAAGTACTACAAGTGAGTGCTGGGGGGAGGGGGGGATGGGGGAAGCAAATTTAGCAGGGCCACTTTGGCAGCACCTCTGATGTCATGCAAACATTCCATGACCCAACCAAACAGTGATGTATTGAAGACGATGTTTGCTAAATGGAGATTGTGGTGCCTAGAGCTGTCTTTTCGACTTAAACACATACCAATAGCTACAAGGGACCATATCTCATCATCTGACACATCTTGCTTCGATGTCTGGAAAAGTGGAACATTCCCTCAAACCATTGCTCAGCAAATTCTCAAGTAAAGTATCTAATATGCTGTAAACTCACACATCCTTCACAACCATTGTCAGGCTCTGGCTGCATCTTTAGCAGGCCCACCAACCATGTTAAGAAAATCTACTGTGCTGGATGTCTTAGTGGCAATGATCTATTGCACCTGCCTAAGGTGTGTACCAAAAACAGGTCTGGCTGGCTTACACTTATTTTTCCTTCTGTTTGAAAAATAAGATTCTATAAAACTGATTCTCCATGCACAAAAATTGGTGATCGGCTCATGCAAAACTTAGGGTATCAGCTTTATCACAGTAAATGAAATGGGAGCAATAATTTTGGGTACAAGATGAGTGGGAGCACAAATCTAGCTTACTGCAAGCTTGTGTAGAAACTATGTTATTGGGGAAGCTGTCTTCTAGTCTGCCAGCTCTCCTCAGCTATATTTATGTACTTTGTGAGGTCATAAGCCTTCCATTTTGAAGGGCAAGATCACACAGGTTTCCTGCTTCTGTTAACCACTGGTATCTTGTGGACTGATAAGTTGTCTTATATGGACATATTTATAATGGAGGTGAGTATAAATTGCAATTATTGCAAAGCAGTGCACAAAGAAGACCAATTATTCATATGCCCATAGTGTACTTATGACACAAATCCTGTGATACCACAGCCCGCTCTAACCTCAATTCAAATTTTTGGAAAATGCAATGATTCATAACTATCAATTCATAACCCCTGACATATGATTCAGATTCAAAATTAATCATGATTTTGTCTTTTATGAATCAAGTATTTGTTGATTCACATTCCAGTTCAAAGACTCAGCTCTGAATCAGATCATTGCTTCACACTGGGTGAACCAATTCAGCATTGATTCCTCCTGCATCCAATGTGTGCATCCTGATTTCAATGGCTTTTAATTAATGAATGACTTACTCACAGCTTGTACAGACCAGCTTCAGCTAGATGTGAAGTAACTTGCAGGTTGTCAATTTCATTTCACAACAACAAATTCATTTGACATTAGGAGGCAGAGGAACTCCAGGCAACACATGTTATGCTGATGCATTGTGTCTTGGCTTTTGCTTTATATAGGTAGGCAGAACAGCAATGCTTATACCTATTTAGCTGTGAAACTGCACACCCTCAGGTGTTACTGTATATGGCCATGGGGGTGGGGTAGGGGCTGATAACAGGAGCTTGCAATGCATGTGAAGCTGCATTACCCAGCAATGGTAGTGGAAGTGCCTCAAAAAGGCCACAGGTCAGCTGTTATGCACTCTGGTAGGCCAGCCTTTTTCTGGTAACACTGCCCTCCTTAACCATACACCATACATGTGCAGTGTTGGCTGGGTTTAGTAGAATCAGTTTATCTCCTTCTGTCAAATTCATGTAAGAAGCTTAGGTCAGGGTATACATTGCTACCTCATGTTAAGAAAGAGCATTGTACATCACTCATCGTTTTTAAGACAGAACATATCGTAATTAATCATAAAACAGGTCATCTAACCTCTTACCTTCGGAACTTAAATAGCCACGATAGCGAAACATCCGAGCACAAACACGCAGCAACCACGAACCTGGCGCCATTTCTACGCGTGATTCGCAACATTACTGGGTGATCACAACATTACTGCGCATCATGAACCATACAAATGTAAGAGGCCAAAGTAACACGAATTCAATAAAATGTGTTTCTTACATATCCAAGCAGTCTTCTGTATTGTTTGTAGATTGGTCAACATAGTGGGGAAATATGATGTTTTTGCATGGGAATGAAAAGCAAAATGAGAATATGGTGACAAAACAAAACTTCTTGATATGGCAAATATATATGGCATGGAACATGGATGCCAATGGGACACTGGGTTGAAGGGGATAGGGTGGGGGTTAGGTTCAGGTTACATTAGGTTAGGCTAGGTTAGGTTAGGTTAGGTTAGGTTAGGTTAGGTGAGGTTAGTTTAGGTTAGGTTAGGTTAGGTTAGGTTAGGTTAGGTTAGGTTAGGCTAGGTCAGGTCAGGTCAGGTCAGGTCAGGTCAGGTCAGGTCAGGTCAGGTCAGGTTAGGCTAGGCTAGTTTAGTTTAGACTATGTTCTGGACTATTCTGGCCTGTTTGTTTCATAAACGTACCTAGATGCAATAAGAAACTTTCTCATTGCATTATTATTGTTGCCTTGGTCCCATACAATTCTTATGGTTCTTGATAAGCCAAAACATTATAATTATGCAACAGCAATGCAAAAACGGCACTGGGGAGTCTAGGCGGTGGGGTGCGTGCAGCTCTCAAGAGCTCGCTGTTGTACATATTAAAATTTGAAGGTAGGAGCATGAATCTAACTGTTTTAAGATTATGTACAATATGTTCCAGCCTTAAACATGAGGAATGGTGTACAATGACTTTTTCCAATGTTAGGTAGCAATGCACGCCTACACCAAAGCTTATTAAGGCACTGATCAACTAAAAACTATTGACATAAGTTATTTGAACACAATGCAAACTGCCCTATGCCAAGGAACTCTTTTAGGAGAGTTAATGACTTGATTAATGATCCACATTACATCTTTATATGACAGGATCACTTCACATGTGACCCATCAAAAATGATGATTCCTGCATAGATAATAAATCCACATTAAATCAAACACAGGCTTTACTACAGTCATGTTTGCCAGCATAAATCTAGGCTTCTGTTCTTGACTCCTGACCTTGCCATCCAGACTGAAAAAAACATTGACAAATAGGCACACAATAGAAGTGCATCATTTGAACTATAGGAGAATTACACTGTACATCGGAACAGATTGGTATATGGTCATTTGCTTCACGGTCGACACAAATTTCAGCACATATAACTAGTATTTTAGGAACTTATTGATGCCATAAAGGTAATTTAGAGCATAAAATATTTTGCGAATGCAGCGCAATTTGGCCTAGCCAGGGTAAGGGATTCTTGGCGGGCTGGTCATCCCGCAAATTTCGCCCGTTCATCCCCAACGTATTCATGATGAAACAGAGTATTTGGAATAGAAAGGAAGCAATGTCATATTATTTACCTAATTGTCGTCCCAGCCTCCAACGTTCCAGGTCCTATCGCGCCATACACACCACGCACGCGCCACGTAATGATCCTTCCAAGGATGTAGATTTCGACGACTTAATGATTGACTGCATAATGGACATCTGCTGTGATTGCTCAGCAACTGCCTGTTTTGCGTCATTTGGTGATATTACCTACAAGCGGGCCCGTTCCGCCCGAAACATCGCACTCCTGCTGATGCGGATTATGGTACAAGCCTATCTTTCATGTTGCAAGGTGCGAAATAAACTTTTGTGTACCATCTCCATCCAACGCATCGGCGTGGTGATTTCCTTCCAAACCTTAGCTATAAAATGATGTCCAGTCATGATATGCAACGATGGGACACAATCACCTTACCTTACCTTATGGTGATTGGGAATTATAAAAGGCCACTAAGCCTGTACGGTCCCGGTCTCGTCAGGCCCCCGGCTCGGTAGCCAAACAGTCTCAAAATAGAGGTAGATTCAGTGTGGAATGTCATACATGATGTCAGCCCAGTGCATATAAATCCTAGGCTTGATCTGTTCAACTGAGATTGATGACATGTTCGGGTGTGGAAGAGCATTCCAATTCTTGACGACCCGCGTGCTGAACGAGTTACGACGGACGAGAATCCCAGCCCGAGGTTTTCTCAGCTTCCATTGATGTCCCCTTGTCACCCTCCGGTTTTGTCTTGTCAGGAACTCCTCCTCCGACGGCGACATACCTCCGTGAAACATCTGGTACACTGTTACCATGTCTCCCCTGCGACGGCGGAAGTATAGCGAGGGTAGCTGGAGGAGTCTGAGCCCGTAAATATGCTTATAAATATAATGTGTGTATAAATGTAATATATGATGTGTGCTATAAATATGTAAATATGGCGAGGGTATGACTGGTGCTTCACTTCATAGACAAGACGGGCAGCTCGTCGCTGAACCCGCTACAGCCGCTTCTTGTCCAATTTGCCGAACAGGCCCCAGATAACGTTGACATACTCCAAGTACGGACGTACTAAGATCTTACCAATTATTATACGTTCTTAGATAAGATATTATAAGATCAATTCCCCGACCGATTCATCAGGTCAAGGTCAGGTTAGTTCACCTTCCTGCACTGACGCCGGCCAACAGGGCGTGTCTTCGGTCTTACGTGGTTTCATTCAGTCCATTTATCTGTATTGCATTTCACCGCATCAACATCACACTTACATCCAGTACCGCATGTTGTCTTTAACGAGCTCTTTTATTGGACTTGTGCCCGTGCAGGATTTCAGGCCTGATTTAGACTTCACCACCAGCACTGCGTGACCACCAAAACAACACATCTTGTAGCCTGAACAAGTCGGACACCGCCGGTGAAGCCTGGCGACCTTACCCATCGCGGTGCCATTTCACAAGACAACGTCTGAGCTTGCTAAGAAAGCTCTGAAAGAAAGCTCTGAGCTCCAACAGAAAAACTCACAGCTGCACCAGACTATATTGCCGGTCACAATGTTGTTATAAACTTCCGAGTAATTGGCTGAAATTACACCGAGGTAAGAGCACATGATCATGGCGGACATCGCGGAGCGTTACATACCTGAGGCAAATGGGGTGGCTCAATACAGATGAATGCATGCACTGACATGTGACTGTACTAGCACGCACCTGCGTTCTCAGGACCACAACAGTTGTGTCACACGTTCATACCTCACAGCGCACAAGGCGTATTAATGGCGCGCTAACAGCCAATAATTGTAATCGGTCACCTCCGAAAAGCGCGACATTGACGTCACCCAAACATCTTTCACCAGTTTAGCACAGGCACACGCACACTCCACAGGAACCCATGCGCACTCTTTCGGACCACGCTAACCACAGGTCTACAAGAACGACTAGAGGCCGTTTGCACCGATATCACGGGCGGCACGGATCAAACAGCTTGAGCATCGAGCGCAGGCAGAAAACCGCACGGGGTTCCTCTTTTTCACCTCTAAGAGCTCTGACACTAAGAGTGGCCACTAAGCCCTTGCCAGCTGGGCCGCCGGCACTCTCCGCCGACACCCGGCCCGCGTCTGTGCAGGGGGTCGGCGACGCGGCCCGGGGGGACGCCCGGGCCACCCGGCGCCGTCCCGGGGGTCACCTCCACATGCTCCGAAACATCTTGACCAGCTTGCGCGCGCTGTAGCGGACCGACTTGACCACGCCAGCCGTCAACACGCCCTTGACGCTCTGCGCGATGTTGCGCATGCGCACGATGTCGCCCAGACCTGGCGGGGAGAGGGAGAGGGTCAGCTAAGGACGAGAGACGGCCGCCGTGTCGGGCTGGGATCCCGCCCACCTGAGCCAGACCGGGGTCGCGACAGGTCTGCCCACGGACCAGATGACTGAGAGCAGTCTGATGAGGCTCCGGCAGGGAGGACACCTTCATGGCTGGAGGGACACGGCATGTACCGGGCGCACGCAGAATCACGTGGCTCAACATGTGATGCCGAGCGTGCGACGCACGCGCTACCTGCGGACGTGCACTTAGCCGATTTCATCGGTACCTACGTTTTTCGCCCCATTTCCACATCCAGAGCACGCAGCGGCTGGCACGCTGCCATATGGAATAACATGGACAGTAGTTTGCTTCTATGTGTGCGTACGCATAGGTTACGGGTCACACACAAACACACACTGCGGAAAGACTGAAGTGTTTTTTTACGGGTTTACCAGCTTTGTGTCACATACCCGCACCCAAGGCACGGACCTACTCATGAGTGATATGCATTGATAGGGAACCGAGCGGGTAATCACGTGGTGGAAATTGCAATGCCGCGTGTGCTGTGCGTCACGCGTGCACGAGCTAGCACGATGCATTTGTCCATTTCCGACCATCTTTCACGCTTTGAGCCATATTTCAGCAACCAGGGCAGGCGTGAATCCAACTAAAAGCATGAATAATTCAAATGTTCACCTCTTGCACAGCAAACCACGCGGGCAAACACTTGCATTAACTAATCGAAGTTGTATTAACTAATCTAAGCGGTTATCATATCACAAATAATGAAATCAGGTATGAAAGTAATAGCGTATGCAGCAACCATGCATGTGCAATCGCGGCAGGCCGCACAAAGATGTGGTTGAGATCATATGAAAACGAATTAGTCTAGTGGATTTAAGTACCGAAAGTGTTAAATATATACTAGGCGTTCAAACTTCCCGGTTGGGAAATGCTACACCACCGGTTCAGTCGCTGCTCCTTATTATCAGACGCACCTTTTGCCCACGTTAAACTAGGTCAGCTTTCCGAAAAATGAAATTCTACAATCTCCCCATTTGCAAACAATTTTCGTAAGGCTGAAAGGAAAGACGAATATTGCGGGGCTCTGGTGTCTCAATCGGGCCCCAGTTGCCCCTACCGGACAGCTGCAGCAACCGCCACACGGCCGCCCACACGTCTGAGGAGTCACCACGGCCCGTCCGGAGCCCGCAGCACACCCGGCGGCCCCCCTGAGTCGCAGCGTGGTGCCCTGCCCCGTGACGCGGCTTCCGCGTCTGCCACCAGCGACACGGCCGGTCCGTCCATCCCAGGCTGACCTCTGACGATGACGCCGCTGGAGTAGATGTCGCAGGCTGCGGCGCGCAGCACGTCCTCCACGTCCCGGTGTCGGCCGTCGCGGTTCCAGCGGCGCGCCAGGCACACCTGCTGTGCCACGCCGGCCGGTTAGCGAGGACCGCTCACGCGGGGACGGCTGCGGTCCGACAGCAGCGGCCCGGACCGACCTATACGCCGGCGCACCGACAGCGGCGGCACGGACCGACCTATACGCCGGCGCACCGACAGCGGCGGCACGGACCGACCTACACGCCGGCGCACCGACAGCGGCGGCACGGACCGATCTACACGCCGGCGCACCGACGGCAGCGGCACGACCTATACGCCGGCGCACCGACGGCAGCGGCACGGACCGACCTATACGCCGGCGCACCGACGGCAGCGGCACGGACCGACCTAAACGCCGGCGCACCGATGGCAGCGGCACGGACCGACCTACACGCCGGCGCACCGATGGCAGCGGCACGACAGATGAGGCAGCCACGCGCTTGTCGGCATCAATGAGACGCCATGCTAGCTTATCGACTCACGAAGGCCAGTAGTGCAACCGGTGATTTGTTCCGTTACACTTTTCTTCCCTCCCCCCCCCCCCCAAGAAAGAAAAGACAGGATACCTTGGGCACATCAGTAAGGAATCTGTCAAAAATATGTTGTCAGTATTCATCCAAACGTCACAGCACCATCAAATGTTACAGGACCACCAAACGTCACAGAACCATTCAAACGTCACAACACCGTTTGAACCATCGGAACCATCGGAATTTCCGAATTCGATCTATCCCTGGGCTTGAACACCTAGCAGTTTCCCTGACTGGACGAGCAGCGGCGGCGCCGGTGCGCCCCCTCGGCGCCGGGCCTCACCTGAAGTTCGCGCGGCAGCATGGTCAGGTGGTAGAGCCGCGCGGCCGGCGACACGTCCTGCCGACCCGCCCCCTCCACCACCTCCATGTACTCGGACAGCGACTCGCGCGCCGGCGCGTACAGCTCGCAGAACTCCGCCACCTGACCGTCCACGATGTTGGCCACCTTGTTCTTGTCCTCGCCTACCCACATGCGGAAGTCGCCTGACGATGGAGACGGACACCATGTCATAGAAAGGGTCAAAGCTGCACGAGAGAGACGTGCCCGTGTCACGCATTGAAACCTAGACCATTGGTCCATCCCCCACAGACGGGGTGCTCCCCGCAGCCGGGTTGCATACACATCACCTGACCACGGACTAAGCCGACTCCGTCTAAGGAGACCATGCACCGACCAGTGACCGACGCGTCCCGCCGCGGCCACAGACGAGCCCGCACCTGTGTACGACAGCGAGGTGATCTTGGTGTAGAGCTCGCGCTCGGTGAAGTGGCTGGGCAGCAGCAGCAGCGCCGTGTGCAGCGCCGACTGCAGGTTGAGCTTCATCGCTGTCTGCAGGTCGTCATCTGATGGAGCGCAAGCACCGGAAAGTCGGTAAGCGACAGCACGAGACACGCGGCGGCGCATCGAAGGGAAGGCCCCGCAAGATCCCATACAGTTACACACTGGGAGGTGCGGCTGTCCATGATGTTGGCCACCTAGTGGAACCCACCCACTTACAATATGGAACACGTCTTTCGTGAGCTTGTTGATGCATTACCAAACAGGACAGCTTATATCCCATCTGGACGTTGGGTTATGCTGCGTTACATAACAGACGATGCATCCGCGTGTGTCGCTGGTCATCCCCGCACCCGTCATCCTTCACGACGCGTTCAAGGAAGGTGAGGCACAGAAGGACATCAGTCACGGCAGGGTGCAGGGGCGCGGCGGCGGACGGTGCCCCTCGACCGGCGGCAAGAAGCGTCCCTTCGACGGCGGCGGCGACGCTCACTGGCGGGCGGCAGCAGGACGCGGCACGGCTTGTGCAGCCGGCCGGCCACGTACAGCGTGTCCCAGTCCAGCAGGTCGGAGAGCAGCGCCGCTGTCGAGATCACGCCGTATTTGATGGTCTGTAATGACCGACGGCACAGGTCATCATCGGTGGCACAAGCCACCACCGGCCACCACCGCTCCCGGCGGCACAAGTCACTACCAGCCACCACTCCTCCTGATGGCACAAGTCACCACCGGCCACCACCGCTCCCAGTGGCATGGGTCGCCACCAGCCACTGTCGCTCCTGACAACACAGGTCACCACCAGCCACCGCTCCTCCTGATGGCACAGGTCACCACTGGCCACCGATGCTCCCCATGGCACAGGTCACCACCAGCCACTGTCGCTCCCAATGGCACATGTCACCACCAGCCACCACCAAGCAAAACTCAAACATGGGTTGCCTCTGGTCTGAACTGTCATTAAACATGGAACTTACCCCATTTTCTACAGGTATCAGTGTGTTGAAATACACCTTAGCACCATAGTCTTTTTGGCAAGACGCAACTGTGCCACTACCCAAATATTTTAAGAAGGAGTAATGGCGCGGGTTCTTCGCTATGTTGGCTTCATGCCATGCCTGAGGATCATCTACAGCAAAGATGAAGTCCACCATCCGGTCTGCCTGAAACAAAATGAATGAGGAATCATGGTAGCTCACAGCATCCTAGGATACTTTCAAGCTGACAAAATCAGAAGTGCATATTTTACTGCAAATTATCTGTAACATATTATCTTTTTGGAATGCATCATATGATTAGGATTGATAAGCAATCCCATGCATCTGGCATTCATCCGTTAACTTACTTTTGTGTTGTTCTTCTGATTGAACACACTTGATCCATATGCAAAGGCGAAGAGATATCTTCCCAGGAAATAATGACAGACATTGGTGAAGAAAGTCATGGTTCAGATGTCTTGCAGACTTCAGCAATGACATTCCAAATGATAACTGGAATCCACTGCAAAATAATCAGAAAAGGGATATCAATACTATTGTAACACAACTGCACACAAGCAAATTCACTTTTTGTAAAGAAAACTGGATTCAATTTGAGCCAAATCTGATTTCTTCATTCCTAACATATGAATTCCTGAGCTTAATGACAAAGCACTTCATGTTGCAGGATCAAATAGGTACTATCCTAGCTTTAACAAAAACCTATCATAAAGGTCAATTACACACTTTGCAAAATAGTAACCATGGCAGGAATAACAATAAAAAATACATCTACAAGGCCCCATGAGCTGTCACAGCGCTCACAGACACAGACATCACCTCTGTGCTTCCAGGAGAGCTGAGCTCCCCTAATGCCAACTACAGCCCCCCCCCCCCCCCTCCAATAGACTTCTGAGCCCCTCCCCTACTGAATGTGGGCAAAAACAGGAATACTGGACCAATGAAATGCAGAAACTTTCATGGAATGCTAGTAGACTTGGTATCTATCAGAACATGGTACTGCCAGGTACTTATCACAACTATTTTAATGTGAATTTTGTGCTATATATGTAGTAAGACATACACAGAGACATAACAAAAAGTAACACCCCTGTTAGCAGGCAACCACATCATTCTTCCATGCGCTGCTATGGAATTAAAACAAAGGAAAAATCGAATGAGTGAGATGTAACTTTGCGATCATCACCGAACTTTCGTAAAAATTGTGTGTCAAATGCAATAAACGTAAAGGCTGTATCACGAATTCCATAACAAATGAAGATAGCTTCCAAATATAACCATAAGTACTAAATAGTATGATAGTATTTTCCAGTTTCATTGAGGAAGCACGTTTTGATTTGCGGGCCACTGTGCTCCTTGGCGCAAATTTTTAAAACATGCAATGCTTTACTTAGCTGTGTGTATTGGATAGCCTTGGTGCTATGGACACAGTCAATCAATTTTGCTTTCAGAGTTTGGTGATGAAGGAGATAAATTTGCACCTAGAATCATCATTCAGAATACGCACACAATTCTAACGCGATCGTTTCAAAAGCGGGATTGCGCAAGGTGTTGCATTGGTCGAGCACACAGCGACGGCGTGGTCCGGCGCGGCGGGTGAGTTGGACAGGTAGGTAAAGGTGGGGAACGTCAAGTCGCATTTTGCGAATATATGTAGCTTTCCTGGATAGAACAGTGATGTGGCTCGGAACCGCCATCCACCAGCCACTGCGAATAGGGGCATGGCTTGTCGTGATAGGCTGTGCCAAATGGGTTTGTTAATTTTCCAGCCAAGGTATGACTGTCGGCTGTAGCACATCTGATAGGCGGGCCATGCATTCTTTATGTTAGGAAACATGAAAAATGCATATTTCCTAGCTTCAGCCACTGGCCAGCAGTGGGAAATTCCGGGCTGTCTGTGGGTTCAATATGACACTAGGCCCCCAGGAGCTTTTGGCACATTCATGAATATCCCCGATTTTTGTTATTAAATACTTATATTCTATTCTGTGATATTTTTTGCAGAGAAACTCATGTTCCTGTGTGAAGGGCTGTTAAGTTGGGTTAAGAGTGACTAAACGTAGGCAGCTGACCTGAAAGGCTCAGTCACCCATACAGAAAATACATTAAAAACTAAACAACTAACTTGCCACATACATAAGCATGCTCACCATGTTCCACCACAAATTTCTACCCACCATTGTTTGATCTGCAAAATTTATCTATGGGTTTAGTACTGGTTGTTGTGCTCATACAATCTTATATGTTCCATTTTCTTGGTCAACAAATTGTAAACTTGTGCTAGTCACAGGCCCTAAGTGAAAATTCATAATATAAGGTATATGCTCAAGCATGAGCTTTCTAGCATTTATTTCTTTAGACTGGGCATTGGTTTCTTTAGACTGGACTGCATGGTTACTGGCTTGAGTCATATGTGGGGTACAGAAACAGCTGTCATAAACAACTTGAATTTTGGGCCACTTTCACAGACTAATGAAGGTTGCTGGTCCTGAGACACTTCATTTCTTCATTTCCAGGAAGTGTGGTGGTTAGCTGTTCCTGTGAGTGGCTTGGGGGCGGACCGGTCCACGATGCCGCGCACGGTAACGCCGGCACAGCTGTCGGCACTGCAGCGTCACCCAGAGCATGTGCGCAACATATGTATCCTGGCGCATGTTGACCATGGCAAGACGACGCTGGCCGACGCGCTGGTGGCGAGCAACGGCGTGATCTCGGCTCGGCTGGCCGGCCGTCTGCGCTACCTGGACAGCCGGCCGGACGAGCAGCGGCGCGGTATCACCATGAAGAGCTCGGCCATCGCACTGCACCACGCGGACGCGGCCGGCGCGCACCACCTCATCAACCTGATCGACTCGCCTGGCCACGTGGACTTCTCGTCGGAGGTGAGCACGGCCGTGCGGCTGTGCGACGGCGCCATCGTGCTCGTGGACGCCGTGGAGGGCGTCTGCGCGCAGACCAAGGCTGTGCTGCGCCAGGCCTGGACCGAGGGCATCCGACCGGTGCTGGTGCTCAACAAGATCGACCGGCTGGTGCTGGAGCTGGGCCTGACGCCCCTCAGCGCCCACCTTCACCTCTCGCAGGTACGTGGGCTGGTCGCCGCTGCTCGGCGTGACGCACCTCGGCCGGCTGCCGGCTGTCGGGGTCTGCGCGGGGCAAAACGCGACCCTCGCGCTGCACTGCTCAGATTAACCCGGAGCCGAGCTCTTGTATTAGCCATTGATTAGTCCAGTGCATCACTCTCGTATTAGTCTTTTATTCCGGTGCCTGGTTTTCGTGTTGGCCTCTCACTAGTCCGGTGCCTGGTTCTCGTATTAGTTCCTTAGTAGTCCGATACCTGCCGCGTATTTGTCCCTGATTAGTCCGGTGCCTGTCTTGTATCAGTCCCTCCTTTGTCTGAAATCCGTCTCTCGTATTAGTCGCTCATTAGTTCAGTGCCTGGTCCTGATATTTGTCCCCTATAAATCCGGTGCCTGGCTCTTGTATTAGTAGCTATTTTCCACCGCGTGATTCTCATATAAGTTCCTTATTAGTACCGTGCTTGGTTTTGTATGAGTCCTGTCTTAGTTCGGTGCCGAGTTTTAGCATTAGTCCCTTCTATCGACTTTGGGTTAATCTGCTTGGTTCTATTTGGCATCTTGGTTCTAATCTGAAAGCTTCAGCACAGGCTTTCATATCATCCTTGACGGAAGGCATTTTTTAACATGGATACACGGCACCTGCACCGCCCTGCGTGATGAAGAGAACTATCCAGTGTACTGTCAGGGACGCTGGATATTTTCAGGATATTTTTTGCGGCAACCCTGACTCACCCTCGCTCGTCGTCAGGTGCTGGAGCAGGTGAATGTCGTGATGGCGGAGCTCTTCACCACCGAGTTCCTGGAGCGGCCGTCGGCGCCGCCGCCAGACGCCGCGGCCGGACCGGACACCTCCGAGCCAGCTGACCCCACCACGCGTGACATGGCCGACTGGGCCACCGGCCTGGAGGACGCCGACGACTCGGCGGTCTATTTCTCGCCGGACGCCGGCAACGTGCTGTTCGCCAGCGCGTACGACGGCTGGGGCTTTGGCATCAAGCACTTCAGCAAGATATACAGCGAGAAGCTGGGCATCCGGGAGGAGGTGCTGCTGAAGACGCTGTGGGGCGACTACTACCTCAACGCCAAGACGAAGCGCATCATGAAGGGCGCGCAGGAGAAAGCCAAGGTGCCACTGTTTGTGCAGTTCATCCTGCAGAACGTGTGGGCCGTGTACGAGGCCATCGCCGTGCGCCGAGATCGTGAGGCGACCGAGAAGATCGTGTCGAGCCTGCGGCTGACGGTTTCGGCGCGGGATCTGCGCTCCACGGACAGCCGCGTCCAGCTGCAGGCCGTGTTCTCGCAGTGGCTGCCGCTGGCGCCGGCCGTGCTGGACATGGTGGTGACGCACCTGCCGGCCGCCGCCAGCCTGTCCGAGGAGCGCGCGCAGCGCCTGCTGGCCGGCCACGGCGTCGTCCTTCGACCGGCTGCCGGCCGAGACGCGCGCGCTGCTGCCGCACTTCACACGCTGCAGCGGCGCCGACGACGCGCCCTGCATCGTGTTCGTCTCCAAGATGGTGGCTGTCGACCGGGCCGAGTTGCCCGAGAATCGGACGCGGCCGCTGACGGCGGAGGAGATGGCGCGCCGGCGCGAGGAGGCTCGTCGGCGGCACGCGGCGCGCGCCGCCGCGCCCGACAACGAGCCTGGCGCCGGCTCGGAGGCTGCCGGTGTACCGCTTTCGGAGCAACAGATGGCCGCGCTGCGGCTGGCCGAGCCGGCGACGCCCTCCGAACCGGCCGCCGCCGACCCGCGCGACGTGTTCGTGGCGTTCGCGCGCGTGTTCTCCGGCACGGTGCGGCCCGGCCAACGGCTGTTCGTTCTCGGCCCGAAGCACGACCCGGCGGTGGCGCTGCGCCGGCTGGCGGCCGCCGGCGCCGTGTCGGCCGCCGCCTCGCTGGCCGAGCTGCCGGCCGGCCAGCACGTGACCGAGTGCAGCGTCGAGTCGCTCTACCTGCTGATGGGCCGCGCGCTCGAGCCGCTGGAGGCGGCGCCGGCCGGCTGCGTGGTAGGCGTCGGCGGCCTGGCCGACCACGTGCTCAAGTCGGCCACGCTGGCGTCGACCGTAGCGTGCCCGGCGTTCAGCGAGCTCAGCTCGGCTGTGGTGCCGATTGTCCGCGTGGCCGTGGAGCCGGCGCGACCGGCCGACCTGCCCCGTCTCGTGGCCGGCCTGCGTCTGCTCAACCAGGCGGACGCGTGCGTGCGCGTCACCGTGCAGGAGAGCGGCGAGCACGTGCTGGTGACGGCCGGCGAGGTGCACCTGCAGCGCTGCCTGGACGACCTGCGCGAGCGCTTCGCTGGCTGCGAGGTGGTGGCGTCGCCACCGATCGTGCCGTTCCGCGAGACGATCGTCGAGCCGCCGCAGCTGGACATGGTGAACGAGGCGATCGAGGAGGCGCGCGCCGAGCAGCCGGAGGCGGCGCAGGGTTTGGTGGAGGTCACCACGCCCAGCCGGCAGGCAACGATCGCCGTGCGCGCCGTGCCGCTGCCGCCGGACGTCGTCGAGCTGCTGGACGCCAGCGCCGACCTGCTAGCGGGCCTGCACAGCCGTCGGCACGGCGACAGCGGCGGCGGTGACCGCCATGCCGACGAGGAGGACGAGGTGGCGTCCGGCCGGCGGCGACGGCTCCTCTCCGAGGCGGCGTCCGAGCCGCAGGCCGGCGAGGAGCTGGAGAAGAGCGAGACGGAGCTGAGCGAGAAGAACCGGCTGGAGCTGCACCAGCTGCTGTCGGCCGGTGGCGAGGCGCCGCCCGAGCCGGCGGCCGGCACAGTCAGCTGGAGTCGCGCCCGCCGCTGCCGCGACGAGCTGCGGCGCCGCCTGGCGGCTGCCGGCCGGCACCAGCTGGCTGAGCTGGCCGACAGCGTCTGGAGCTGCGGGCCGCGCCGTTGCGGACCAAACCTGCTGTTTAACGCCGTGCCCGGGTACGCGCGGCTGTCGCTGTGGGCACCGCCACCGGACTCGGCCGCCGAGCCGCCGTCACCGCTCGCCGCATTCGACGACTGCGTGGTGCACGGCTTCCAGCTGGCCACGGCGGCCGGCCCGCTGTGCGAGGAGCCGATGCGCGGCGTGGCGTTCGTGGTGGAGGCGCTGGCGGTGCGGCCAGCTGAGGCGGCCGAGTCGGCACCGGCCGGCGCCGCCGCCGCCGTCTGCGGGCCCCTCAGCGGACAGATCGTGTCGGCGGCTCTAGCCGCCTGCAGACGCGCGTTCCAGGCGCAGCCGCAGCGCCTGATGGTGGCCATGTACCAGTGCCAGGTGCACGTGACCGGCGCCGCGCTGGGCCGCATGTACTCGGTGATCGGACGCCGCGGCGGCCGCGTCCTCCACGGGGACATGAACGAAGGCTCGCACAGCTTCAGCGTGACCGCCTACGTGCCCGTGGTGGAGAGCTTCAGTCTGGCACAGGAGCTGCGCAAGGAGACGTCGGGGCTGGCGGCGCCACAGCTCGTCTTCAGCCACTGGGAGACGCTCGAGACGGACCCGTTCTGGGTGCCCACCACCGAGGAGGAGTACCTGCTCTTCGGACAGAAGGCCGACACGGAGAACGCAGCGCGACGCCACATGAACGCCGTCCGTCGCCGCAAGGGGCTCGCTGTGGACGAGAAGATCGTCGAGTTTGCCGAGAAGCAACGCACGCTCGCCAGGAAAAAGTAACCCGTGATTGGATAGGTCAATGCAGTTTAGGATGACCGAGTGGGGTGGCTCGGTGCTGGGTTTTAGAACTGTGTCGCTCGTGATTGTCCGAGCTGGTGTTCGGGTCGGTGTTCTGCGATATGTGTACGGTTTTGATTTTGGGTTTCGCTGGGCGCAGTGGAGTCAATTATTTGATTGTTCGTCGACCATCCGTCGTCTTAATGAGGAGCGATTTCATCGCTTCGACTGCAACGCCCTGCCTTGTTCGCCTTGCAGCGGACAAATATAAATTATTATATTAGCTCACCGTAGTTTTTTCCGCCAGACAGCCACAGCCAGGCTATCAGTCGACCTGTCGCTCACGTGCTTTCCGATGTCAGCGACTCTCGTCACTCACGTCCACCCGCTCATCGGAGCTGGCGTATATTTCCGAGTCGCCACCTGGACCACGCCGCCCTCCCGTCTCCGAGCGCGGCTGTCTGCCTTTCGACGCCCGCCTTCCGTACGCACAGAACGCAGCGTCGATCCGCATGATTCCGTGCCCACACACGCGCCCGCTTTCGATTAAAGCACGGACGAAACGGCGCGCAGCAACACCGCCGCGGGCCAACGGTGACAGAGCTGCCGAGGGTGGGGCGGCAGAACGCAGCCGCCCCTGCCCCTTCCCTCATGCCCATACACACAGTGCACCAAGCACCTCACTAGCATACAACGCTTGTACGGGGTGCATTAGACGGAATAACTGGAGAACACATCATCAGCGCCTGCCCTGGGCGTGGACGCCGCCATCGGCACCCGCCCCTGGGCGTGGACGCCGCCATCGGCGCCTGCCCCTGGGCACGGACGCCGTCATCAGCGCCTGCCCCTGGGCACGGACGCCGTCATCAGCGCCTGCCCGTGGGCACGGACGCCGTCATCAGCGCCTGGCCCCGGGCGTGTGACGCGCCATCGCGCCTGCCCTGGGAACGGACGCCGTAATCAGCACGCCTGCCGTGGGACGGAACGCCGCTAATTCAGCGCCTGCCCGTGGGCACGGACGCCGTCATCAGCGCCTGCCCCTGGGCACGGACGCCGTCACTGGCACCTGCCCCGGGCGTAGACGCCGTCCTGCGCTAATCACAACGTTACGCTTTGATCGTCGATCGCGTGCGGCACCAGAAATCCTTATTAAAACAAGACGGCCATAACTCGCTACGTCCCAGCCGACCGCTTAAGTAGAAGCTTCTCGGTCGCAAACTGGCCGACCGTCCTGTCAACGGCACAAAAATAGGCTCTCAAAGGCGGGGAAACATGCGAGCGCCGCAGGGAAGCACGGGCTGGCCGACGCCGCTGGAGCCACGGGCCACGGAAGCGCGGTAGTCCGCAGCTGACGGCGCCTGGCCGGGTCGAGCGGCTCACTCCCGGCGGGTCCCTCCGCCCGCCGCTGGCCGCCGCTCGGACGTCGCAGCGGTGCCCGGCTGGGTGCCGTTCAGAGTGCAGCCAGCGCTCCTCGGTTCCGGTGTCGCGCGCACAGGTGCGCGGCGCCATAGTTGGCCGTCGCGGCGCTAGTTGGCCGTCACGTAGTTGGCGGGGTAGAGGCCGATGCGGCCGTCCTTGCGGCCCTTGCACCAGCCCTGCTCGTCCTCGTCCTCCAGCTTCTCGAACGTGTCGCCTGCCGGCCGCGCGGCGGCGTCAGTCGTGCGGCGGGGGCGCCAGGGAGGAGGACGTGTCCACCCGCGGCCGCGGCCGACGAGAGCAGCCGAGTCGTGGTCACAGGAGACGAGGCCGCACGTGCCCGGGTCCCGAGTCCCAGTATAGGTCACCGCACCCCAGGCGTCCGGGGATAACGAGCAACAAGACAACGGCATCACACGGGCCATGTGCTCTCGTTCAAGTCGGCCGAGTCGTCTGAAGCAGGCGTGTCGCCGTCCGAGACCATCGCCACAAACCACCGGCAGGGCCACGGCCGAAAAATCGCAGCGACACGACAAGACAAGCCCATTCAAACCACGAATCACACACGGCCGCGAGCTCCACGTTCCCAGCAGCAGAAGTCCACAATCGACACCACCCGCCGCCTCCCCTCTCCCCTCCGCCTCCGCCGCGGGACGCACCGGCCTTGAACGAGAGCTCGTCGGCCTCGACGCCGTCGTAGTCGTAGATGGCGCGCACCGGCACGCCCGGCTCGCCGCTGTCCACCAGGTCGGTGGCGTACTCGTCCCACTCCTCCGGGCTGGCCTCCTCGAACGCGTGGCCGTTGCTGTCAGACAGGCGGTGAACGGAGGTCAGAGCAAGGCAGGGCGTGCAGAGAGCCGGCGGGGTAGCAGTGGGGCACGGACATAGGCCGGGTCTTCACACAGACACCGATACAGGTTGTGGATTGATACATATCACCGCAAAGTAGCCACGGACGCCAGCCGAGCCCTGAAACCAAAGGGCCATCAGGGGCGCATGAAGATCCCAGACGCCGAACCGGACAAGGCCTTGCGGGCTGGCCGGACGCCGAGCGAGGCGGCGGGCGTCCCACGTCTCTGCCTCCGACGCACAGCGCCCGCACCGGTCTTCCCATCATCAGCACGTGGCGTCAGTGCATCCTGGGCTACGCGGGTGCTGGGGCACCTGGTCACCCCAATCAAGTGAAGGGAGGCATGGTCTCCGCGGAGTTCACGCGTGAAGTGACTCCGACTGAGGGACAGAATCGCTCTGTGAGCACCCACCCCTCAGCGCACAGCGCCCCCAGCAGGCTACCAGCGTGCTGGTACCGACCCGCCACCGCGCCTTCCACTGACCTCTGCTGCGAGCTCCGACTGGCGGCCGCCCCGACCGCCGTCTGGCGGCCGTCCGACGAAGCTGCGCCGCCCGTCGACCGGCCAGACGTCTTCTTGGCGTTCTTGCTCGCCGGGTTGAAGTCCTGAAACGGCGACAGGTGGGGTTGGAATGACCGCGCGGGGTCGGGGAGCCGGGATCATCGGCATAGGCGTGCAACTGGTCAGCACTGAACACGCCAAAGTACATGGCGTGGAGTGTGCAGCTCCTGATGTCATATCCATGTCCTTTACCAGAGTCACAGCGGCTTAACACTGGACTTAACCGCGACCGCGATGACCTTCAGTTTTCACCGACTGCGTACGGACTTTACGAATATTCAATTTTGAAGTAAACATTTTGTGTGAAAACTAAAATGATGGCTGCGCAACTTCTACCCAACGGACTACCAGCGGACTGCTGTACAGACGATTATGCGGATGATTTCGCTGCCTGGGTCTGAATCTGCCTCGTGTGCTTACGTACATCTAGGAGCAGGCAAATCTTATATGTCCCTCTGCAGTCATTAACTACGCACGGCCGCGTGACTGGTGATAACCACGCCGGACCTCGCATAGAGAAGTGCATGCAGCCTGCGCATGTGCAAGACAGGACGCCCGCCCCAGGTGATGCAAAGCTCGGTTATTCATAAACGACGCGAAGTTTGTCGTGTCATGTTGATTATGCTTCGACATGTCACATTTACCTACAGTGTGAACTCAAACATTTGTCCCGTCTTAAAGCTGTACTTGACCCAAAACGCACACTGCGAGGACCTCGGCACGCCCCCCTTGCCCTCTTTTTACCCGACCCGGTTCTAGCAAACAGGTTGCAGCCCGCTGCGTGTAGTGACAGGTCCCAGTTTAAAGTCAAGGCTACGACAGAGAAAACCGACGCAAACAGCGGGGCGTCTAACCCTGGTGGCGAGAGCCCACGTGGGAACCGAATCGCCAAATCACAACTCGACTCGCAGTGGGACACCTCCCCTCCGCGGGCGAGTCAGAACCTGACACAGCCCGGGCGCCGCTGGCGGTGGCGACACTCCGCCTCCCTCGGCGACTCCTGTCCATCCCGACCCCTGCGCGGACGGGGTCCCTCATCCCCGACGAGGTCCTGGTCCTGCCCCCGCCCCCGCCCGGGTCCCAGCCAGGCCGTACGGGCAGGTCGTCGCTGACGGTGCGCTGGTTGATGAGCGTGATGTTGCCGTCGGCGATTAGCCCCTTCCTGCTGCGGCCGGCGATGTCCCGGAACTCCTCGCTGTACTCCTGCAACAGCGGGCACAGGGCGGCCGTCTAACGGGGCACACGGTGGCCTGCGCCGTAAGGGGGGAGGGGGTGGGGCGGACGGCACAGTGCGGGAGTGGTGAGCGGGAGCGGCGCCGGACCGAGCGGAGGGGCGCGACCACCGGCCCAGCGCATCCCAGACTTACACGCCACGCACCGCATAGAAAGCCAGGTGCGAGCCATTAGTGAACAATAAAGAGCTGTAAACGGAAAAATGCAATCCAACGCTTGTCACGGGTCTTTAAATACATTCCTGGTTGGCGCACCAGCCTCAATCAGCAATCCCCCGAGCCTGGAGGGCGGAGCGCCGGGCCACCTCGTCCCCCTACTCTGCTGGCTCAGGGGCTGCAGCGGTGCGCCGAGCAGCCATCCGCGCTCCCAGCACGCCGACACGTGGCACCGGGCCGGGCCGGGGCGCCCGTCAGCCCACCCAGCATGCGTGCCGCCCGCCGGCGGCCGCCCACCTCGAAAGCCGGCCAGTTCATCGGCATGTTGACGCCGTGGTTGTTGCTCCACCAGCGCAGGTCCTTCTCCTTGTCGGCAGTTGGTGATGGTGTGCTCGAACTCACGGTAAATCTGCGGCAGCCTGCCGGGCGGCGCCCGCCGTCACGCATCGCGCAAACGTCGCGGTGATGAGTGACGTCACAGCAGTGAGCGCACGCACACCCCGGGTAGCGTGGTGCGTTTAAACTCTCGGTAGATCTTCGCTGGCCTGCCGGCCGCCGGCCATCACACGTCACGGTGACATCATAGTGGCAAGCGTACAGACCGCGGCTAAACTTAAGCGTTTTTTTGTGTGTGTGTGTGGGGGGGGGGGGGGCAGGTAGACGCACACGCAGATCAAGGCTGGCATGTTTCCATCAATGCCGTGCGCGCTCCGACGGGTTGGGAGACTGAAAACAGTACCGTCACAGTGCCCACGACACCGAAACCGCGGTCCGTTGTGAAACAGGGCTGAAATGTGCGCTTTATCGTCGAGAAGACTTTGTCCGTGCTAACACTGCAGCTATCTCTGCACATCTGTTCCATTTCCGATAGCTTGTCTGCAGTACCCTGTGCACGTGCACGATAAGCCGACCATGCTGACGGACAAATCCATTGATAAGGCAACGGAGGCGCCAGCTGTATTTCACCTATACGCTCTAGGCTTTCACAGGCCGAACTTCAAGTACCTTTCGCCTTATTTGGAGTCTGAGATCTATTTTCTTTCAGCGCATTTCTGAGCGTAGAAAGTAGTCCGGGTAACCGACGCGCTCCATCGTAATAATCATCCTCATACCCGCGCTATATTTTCCGGCAAAACCAGACAGACCCACCGCCGCGCCACTCGAGTGCCCCAGGCTGAGCGGCCTCCTATCAGCGGCTGGGCCTGCCCGCAGTCTCGTGCCTGCTCGTCACAGCCAACACTCTCCCCCCCCCCCCCCCACCCCCACCTACATGGCGTCCGTGGAGATGTTCAGGCACTTCTGCAAGACGAACATGGTGTCCTTGAAGAACGTGAGTCGGTCCGCCTCGCGCTCCTGGCACTTGTTGAAGACGAATGTCATGTCCTCTATGTACTTGCTGTTCTGTTCGGATATGTCGCTCAGTGCCAGCTCGTACCGGTCCTTGGCCTTGAGCACGTCCTCCTTGGCCCGCTGTACCCGGTCCGTGTGCTTCTTCAGCTGCGGTGAAGGGGCACAGGTCAGTCTGTTTCCTCAGCTGCGGCGGCGGGGGAACACAACAGCTCAAGGATGTGTGCGACAAAGAGCATCCCTCCAGGACGAACGCAAGCATGTTCAACACAGTGTTTGACACCGAGTGTGCTGCACGTGTAAACGGCAGGTTGACAGCTAATGCCCGCGTATGCACCGAACGTTCCGGAACGTTATTACATGGAAGACAGCTGACGGCGGTGCGCATCAGCTCACGCAGGCGCTCTGATGATGGAAGAAGCTGTGCAGCACACGCGCCGCAGACGCAGGTGTCCCCGGAGGTGACCAAACGGGCAGCGCGAACCGCCACACGGGGCAACGGTAACAGCGCACGGCGAACGCATCACGTCAAACAGCCGCACTCCACGTAGGACGCCGAACCGGCTGTAGACGGCTCGCCGACCGTGCTGACAGAGAACGTCTGCAGTATGAACGGCGTGGCCACACGGGTGGAGCGGACAGGCCATCGGGCTGCGAAGGGCGGCCCCAGCAGCGGACGGCCGGTGCGGCGCGCGGCGGTGGTCTGGGACGAGAGCGTCACGGCGACGGCGCTGGGATCAGGTGAAGCGCGCGCCCGACGCAGCGCCGCTCCGCGACAGCAGAGGTCGGGGAGACGCGCCAGGTCACACCAGCCGCCGACATCCGCGCAAGCCTGTGACACACCAGCCAGCGGCCAGGGAGCCGGACTCCCTTCATGTGGCTATAGGTGCGTGCTGTGATTTTTCAGTGGCTCGTATCATGTTCCTGCACACTGGGAAAGGCCATGGCATGAGAGGAATCGCCGGTGCAAGCAGGCGGACCTGTAATCGACAGAAAACATTCATCAGTTACTGAATAGAACAAAGGTGAGCGTATACCAGACAGCGCACACGACGCGCGTTTCTTCTGGTCGGTTCATCTTCAGCGCCTCACAGTGGCACGACGAGGGTAGGACCTGGGGACGGGTCGGCTGTCTGGTGCTGCGGTCGGCAGGAGGACGGCGGGATGGTGTCGGCACGTACCGCATCCGCCGACAGGCTGGCGTCGGTGGCGGCGTTCCGCTCGTGGTTCAGTGCCGTCCGCTCCGCCTTGCAGGCGGCGTGGTAGTCCGACTTGGCCTTGTTCACCTGGCGACGGCGGGGCGCAGTGAGCGCGCCCGGCGGCGCAGCGAACGTCGGCCGCCGCTCGCTGACGCACGGCACACACACACACACACGGCCGGCCCATGGCTACCTTCCTATATCCAACAACGGGCACACACACGACTTGTGCGCTGACGCCAGAGCACGCTCGCATCCCCGCCATTCCCAGCGCCGCCGTTTTGCCCGCAGCCAGCTGTGAGCCAGCTCCTCGCGTGTCTGCGGACGGCTGCGGTAGTCCCAGTCCGGATCTAACCACACCCGACACGCGGCTTCCAACGCGACCCCGGAGCGGGCATGAGTGATCGAAGGCGCTGGCGGCTCGCGGTGGGGTATGACAACGCATGTCATGACTTGGCTGCATACGGCCTTGAACGCGACCACTAATTCCAATGCGTGAAATGGCACGTTACATCAATCACAGAGAACACACTGATGGTGCGAAAAAGCAACAGCAGCCTTGGCATTGTATAACGCATTCAAGTGTTTAAATCATTTGAACAGGTCCCCTCCCAAAAGATGTGAAGTGTTACGGGCGGTGCGCGGCGCGCGATACGCGCTCTTAACAGCACCATGAACGGCGGGACAGGTACAGTATGCGCATATCGATCTTGGGACACTGCAGTCACAACCCCCCCCCCCCCCCCCCCCCCTCCCCCCACTCCGGTGGACGACCGCCGGTGGGCGGCGCGGTATCCAGCGCGTAGGCGGCGGCCGTACCGGGTCCCTCCCTCCGTCCCAGTGCGAGCGGGCGGCGGCGCCGGCGGCGGCCGGCCGGTCCGGGCCGGCCGGGGTCGGCGCACGCGGCCGTCCGGCCAGCCGGGCCCGCCTCGCCGCCGCCGCCGCCACCGCTGGAGGAATGCCGCGCCGACCGGTCGGCAGACGGGCGGACGCCGCGCCGCCGGCCACTCGCTGCGGGCGGCCGGCGGCGACGGAGGGTCCTCGCCGCTCTCACAGGACTCGCCTCTCCCCTCGGGCCACGGAACCGCGGCCGCGCGACGGACGCCGCCAGACCCTTTGGGCGCACGGTCCCGGCCAAGTGTCAACGGTCCTCAGACAGCCCAAAAGTGGGCAGAGCGGCGAACCCCGCGAGCCCGACAGCCAGCTGACGAGGCTGACGACGAACGTACTGCACACCACATTGCTCCCGGACTAGGTGGTCATACGATCTACCGCTGCAGTTTTAAATGGCACACAGCGGTCACCATAGAGCAATGCTCTCGTCGAGCACTTGCTGTCAGCACGGTGCGGTGCGGTACGGTACCGTACTGATGCGATATTGCTCCGACCGCCCGGTGGCCACATCTTCAGACGCCAGGCGCACGGGGGTCTCTTATGTGGAGCCGGTGCCCCACCCAGCTGAGCTGCTATGGCCGTCCACTGATGGGTGACGATACCAGGCAGCCGTGCTTGTAGAAAGTGAAAAAGGTCGATGCGAAAACCCACGGTTTCATTGAAAAGACGACACCCAGAGGAGGCTGAAAGGCTGAAGCTGATATGAAAGCAGCACTGTTAAGCAAATGCAGCTAGCCCGGACCAAACAACAGGAAAGAATGGGGGCACAGAAAATAGGGCGTATCCGAAAACAATACCTCAAAATGCTATGGCTAAGCTTACATCGAAAGGTATCGGACGCTTCGGCCTGGGAGTTCGGCTTCTAAAAGCGTGCGTATTCTGCACCCTGGCCGATCCCTCTCCTCTCTCCGGCCCGCACACCTCCTCCGCCCGCGTGCAGCCCGGCGCGCCCGACTCCCGGCTGATTGATACGCCCCGACCGAGTGCGGAACATCGGCCGATACGGGGGCGGGGTGGTGGCGGCGGCGCGGGGCGTCACGCGGCGCGCGTGACCGGCCGTCGGCGCCCGGTGCGCCCGGCCGTGTCTGATGCCGTCACGGCGCGTGCGGCCCGCAGCGGCACCGATCGGCGCCGCCGACACTCACCTTGTCCAGCAGCTTGGACCACGGCTTCTGCGCCTTCTTGAAGGCGTCGTCCAGGTCCTTCTTCTCCTTGAACTGCATCATGGACTGCGAAACACAGAAAGGGCCGTTCATGACCTCGAGAAGAATGAAATTAACGGACAGGTCAACTTAATACGACCGACACATCCAAAGACGCCATGATTCTAGTGCAGCACTGCGGAAACTGGGACTACTTTGATATCGAAACGAACCTCAGCAAATTTAACTCTATCGCGGGCCGGCGCCCGGCCGGCCGGCGACCCGCTCAGCCGGGTGATCGGCGCGCCGGTCGGCCGGCGCCCGGTCACGCCCCGGGCCTCGGCGGCAGCCGGCTCAGGCGCACCGCACCGCAACACACCACACGGTGACGCACTGTAGTCGTGCGGCATACGCATACGCCCCGCTCTGACCCACACACCGGGAACTGCCGACGCCCGACAGCCGGGGCACGCTTCACACCAGATCACACCACACCACACTGCAGACGCCCGACAGCCGGGGCACGCCTCACACCAGATCACACCACACCACACTGCCGACGCCCGACAGCCGGGGCACGCTTCACACCAGATCACACCACACCTCACTGCCGACGTCCGACAGCCGGGCACGCTTCACACCAGATCACACCGCACCTCGCTGCCAGCGCCCGGCAGCCGGGGCACGCTTCACACCAGATCACACCGCACCTCACTGCCGACGTCCGACAGCCGGGCACGCTTCACACCAGATCACACCGCACCTCACTGCCGACGTCCGACAGCCGGGGCACGCTTCACACCAGATCACACCACACCACACTACGCTATGCGCTTCTGCATTGGGCGTGGCTTGCAGCCAGCTCCCGCACCGGCGCACGGCATGCGGGACAGCCGAGGTCGGTCAGAAACGGGGCATAACCAGGGCGGCCGGCCCAGTTCGCCCCACCGACACGGCGACCCGGCAACACACATGCAGGTACGCCAGCATGCTCTAAGCCAGACATCTGGTGACAAGAGAACGTCTGAGGCGCAAAAACAAACAACCCCGGCAGGGGGTCGCGGCACGCTCCCCCACGTCGCCGACAGTGCGGGGTCAAGCGATGGTGTCACACTGTGGGCGTGGTCGAGGCCTGGCCCGCATACCGGAGCCTGGATGCGCCCGCCCCCGGGTCACGCCGGGTGGCCGTCTAGCGGGGAGACGCTGTCCGTGTCGCCGTCATGACGCGGAAGACGGTCGGGAAGGGCCGGCCTCGGAGCCAGCTGCGCCCAAAGCACAATCGGGTAACGGACAGCGTGCCGTACTACTGTGCCGCCCTGCCGCTCGGCACCAAGAACCAAGAACCCATCGACAGGCGGCGTGCTGCACCACTGTGCCGGCCGGTTGCACGGCACCAAAAACCGAGAGAACCCATCCAGACAACCCCGAACAGCGCAGCGCCACACGCGCCGACACTCCATCAGGATGCTACGCCACCTTGCTCCTCGTGCAGCCCCGCCAGCCTGCCGCTCTGTCGTGCTGTTTTGACGGGAGGGCGGGCCAGCGCCGGGAGCGGGGCGGCACCGGGCGGCCGGCGGCGTTCGGAGGCCGGTCCGGGCGGCGGCCAGTGACCTCCGGCGCGGCCCGGCGGCGCACTGGGACGGCGCGGCCGGCGGCAGGCGGCCGGCCCCAGCCCATCCTGCGGCGGACGCGGCCTCAGGACGTCTCAAGACGCGCCGCTCGGTCTGCGGCGCGGCGGCCTTCAGCGGCCGTCCGATGCGGCGGGCCCGAGCAGCGCGGCCGAAACCGCCGATTCCAATAAACAAGGTACGGAAGCTGTCCCGAGCATGTTATCTCGCACTAACATCTGGCAGCCCACGTCCCGTTCCCTGGCTGGATGATAACAAGACATTGCCAACATATGGTGCCTGTTGGAAGATAATAAGCCGTTACCATGAAATCGCATCCATTACAATTAAATACAATCACTCAAATATGTAGGGATACGTCTTTGGCATCACAAACCAGACGCAGTTAATAAGTTCAAAGTTTCCGGGCTGTGCGAGCAAACGTTTCAGAGCCGTCGCCAAGCTTTACCAACACCCACGTCACGTCAAACGATGCAACGCGTCCTGCACCGCACACACGCACGCATTCTCTGGCGGCGACGAGCCTCGGCCTTGAGGACTGGTTCGCAAGTCTGCCACCTCCGACAGGCCAAGCCACCTGCGGTCTTGAGCCGTCGCCTCGGGGCCCGCGCAGAGCGCGCCGCCCGGCGCGGTCCGTCGCGGTGGGTCCGATCCCGTCCGTCCGGGTGCGGCCGGACCCGGACCTGAGCCGTCCTGCGCGTCTCGGCGGCACGTGCCTGGCTTCACGCGTGCCGCCCCCTCCTCCCCCACGGCCCGTGACCAGCGGGCGCTGCCAGAACACGGCGGCGTCATCACCAGATTGCACGAGATAGGAAATCGGCGACTCCGCGTCGCTGCGGAGTCCGCCGCGAGTGCTCACGTTCCGGCGGATTGTACGCCACAGGATTAAGCGCGGTGCTCGGGGTGGCCCGGACGGAGAGGCAAGAGTTAATACACCGGTTGATTGATGACAAGTTGATGCAGTTGGTTATTCAACGTCATGGCGATCCCACGCGTAACAACGTACGTCCTCCGAGTCGCTGGCGTCCTTGTAATGGTCAAAAGGATTAAGCGCTAAAACCGGGGAGTGACGTCACTTTCCTCATACGGCCTCGCTAATCCCACAACAATCCTGACCTTGCGTTACAACATACAATGCGGCTGTCAGGACTCTCCGATTAAAGACGCACGCAAAAGTGCTGGAATAACTATTCATGCCACGCAAATGATCCACCAAAGACAAACGTAGTTTGTAGCTAAGAACACATAGTTTGATTCATGGACCAATCATATTGTAGATGAACAGTCGCACAATACCCACCCTTCTGCTTCGAGCCACACCCTGACAAGCTGACACCGTGTTGCGCGGCAATATAAAATGGATGCAATCCTACGTTTCAAAATATTCCGATGCTCTTAACGCAGTGTGCGTCCGAAATAACGACGTTCAGGTGATGAAGCGGTCAAGTGAGCAACTGATGCCACCGATCGCTACCTAATATCAACAAAACATTACCGACAGTGACACGAAAGAGCTCAGCACAAGCGGGGAGCCATGGCAAGCCCTGCGCACGCCCGCACTTTCCGCCCCCGGCGCGGCTCACACAATGGCCGTCCGGCAGCGTGCCGGCACGCGCCGGCGCCGCAGTGCCGGCGCGCTGGAGCGGTCCGGGCGCGAGCCGAGCGGCCCCGGTCACAGGCCCCCCGCCAAGGTCGAGCCGTCCGACAATGGACGACGCGTCCCGGCGCCGCCGCCGGCCGAGACTACGCGGAACCCTCTCCGCGGAGGCGACCTCGCCGACTCCGAGCACGAGGATTTTGGGGAGTGGTCCAGCCGCGGTCGCGCCCAACATCAGCTCCGACTGACGCCGGAGTTTGCCGGGATACGACTGGCCTCGATCAGCCACGCTTGGGATTTCTCCATCAGCACGCAGTGCGGACCACTGAGTTACCGGCTCTTCTCTGAAAAGCCATCCGTCACGTCCCTCAACACGGACATCGGCTCTACACAGCCCGTTAGCGCCGGCCGCAGGTTTGTGTCGGGGGGGGGGGGGGGGAGGGGCGTCCGGCCGGCCGTCATTCCCATCGCAGCTCACAGCTCCTACCGATCGCGGGGCCTCCCTGTCGGTCGCGGAGCCCCCCTGTCGGTCGCGGAGCCCCCTGTCGGCCGCGGAACCCCCTGTCGGCCGTGCCCCCCCCCTGTCGGCCGTGGGGCCCCCTGTCGGCGGCTATCGCAACGTCCGTCGCCAGATAGGTTCCACTGGCGTGACCTCCAGCCATCGAGGCCGGCCGGCGGCGGCCGCTGACAGAGCGGTGACACGGCAGCCCGTGATCTGCCACCGAGGGGAGGCAGAACAGCCCGACACGGCCGAGGTCAGGAGGGTTCAGCCAAACCACGGTCGAGTCACCTCACGTCAGCTGTCAGGTACAATATGTCACGTGCTGATCAGTACGTCATCGCATCCGCCGTCACAGCGGACAAGTCAGCGGCAGCCACACGGGGCGCGGAATCAAATGCCCAGAGATGGTATTTAACACGCGGTCACTGAGGGTCAGAGATTCAACAATTTGGCGTGTGGAATGTGGCAACTTCAAAGACGCCACAATAAGGATTACGTCCAAAAGGAACAGAAACAAGTCCAATTTTATCATTGTAAACGATCGAGAGCAAATGCTACTAAAGAAAAGCGCGCCACTACATCAGTGCTCTCTGCATTGCTATAAAGCAATGCTTTTGGCGAAAAACACCACAAAATGAGTGCTCTCCGCGTTATGCATCGCTCGCCAGTAATTTCAATATTAATTCACCCGTAATTTCAGTACTCTTTTCAGCTTCCCCTGTGTCCATGGTCCAATCCCACACCGCCAGCCCGCACTGCACCAGCCTAAGCGATTCTTGTGCTAATAGACCAACACCTCTGTATCCAAACTGAAAAATATTGCGCACATATCTGGAAGAAGTCGTCTAAAAGACGTCTTGGAGCAGCTTGGGGTTCACTCAATCCTTAGCTTACTTGTCCCTTAGCTAATTAAGAAATGTTCATACACAAAACGACCACACCCACCCAGCCACCCACCCCATCACGACGAGACAATGAAATATGGAAGCGATGCACGACGTGAATAAGTGGGATAACGAGCGGAAATTTATCACAATATCGACATATTTATCAGCTTGTGGATAGCCTTGAAGGAGGAGCACCCGATGGTTCATGTGAGCTGAAGGCAGCCTTGCGCCCGAGTCCATAGTTTTTTATACGCGTGCGGGCGATAACGGCCTTGGTTTTTTGTTTTTTTTTTTGTTCGAACGGCTGTCCCATCATAGATCGGCTGTGACAGCAGCAAAGCTGTACACCTTCCGGAGCAGGCAGGCGGCACCGAGCCACGAGACACGGTCCCTTCCACACCGCAGGCGAGCAGCGGTCTGCAGGCAGCGAGACACGAGACACGGCCCCTCCACACCGCAGGCGAGCAGCGGTC